GCTGATGAATTTGATTCTGTAGCTGAATAGTTTTAGATCTCGACACTTAACAAACTCCTGTTTCCACTACTTGGCACCAAAAAACTAAACAAAAAAAAAGGTTCCGTACGTCATGCGGACTGCGCCCCTCGTGTCGGTTGGGCGGGAATGGAGGGTAAAAAACCGTTGGGATTATTTATTTAAAAATAGGCTATTTTTTATTATTTTATTAAATAGTACGGGCTTTTAGCTTTCAAAAGAAGAAATAAAAACCTGCTCATTTTTTGCACTTTCTGAACTAATGCGGTTTTCGCTAATGCATAAAATTATATTTTCATTTTTTGTCAGTGCCTTGAGATCTGCACGATTCGTTCCATTTTCAAAAACGTAGTGTCATATTAAAAAGCTTGACCTGTGGACAATAGAAGGTTTTTTTTTTTAAAGAGTTGCCAACTGTTAAAAAATTAGATTGTTAAAAAATTAGATTCACATTTTTTTATAAGGTAAATGAATTATTAAGAGATGGGTATCAATCAATGTATTGACTACAAGCAGCGAGTTGCCACCTGTTTAAAAAATCAAATTCGATTTGAATTAAAGGAATTAAGTAATTTAAATATATAGGTATCACCATAAGGGAGTCAGACGAAAGAGGTTTAAGAAGGTTTTAGCTTAAAAGTATTACGAATAGGGTGGCCACCTGTTTGTAAAGTCAAATTTAGTTAAACCAAAATAATAATTAAGTCAAACCAAATTTTTATGACATCGTATTTGCTATTTTATTACAAATACATGCATTGCCAATCAGTGATTTGTTTTGATTAAATTCCTTTTAAATTACTGGACTCTTAAACTAACTCAGGAATGTTTTACTCTACACTTATTCCTTTCTAAATATGTAAAATTGTTTCATTTTTCTGATACTCATATTGATATACATATTTCAGTTACCTTATTCCCTTAATTAAACTGAATTTGATTTTTTAAACATATGGCAACCCTTCTACGTGTCGTTTAGAAGTAAAGTATTTTCAAAACTAGTTCAATTGATATCCATATTGTAATATCTAGTCCATTTGACCTATTAAATAATTTTAATCAAATTTGTAACAGGTGGTAACCCTTTACAAAAATAAAAAAACTTGATTGCACCCCTACAGGCCAAGCCCTATCATGTGACACCTCACTTTTGAAAATAGAACGAAGTATATGTACATACCTATGTAAATACCACAAGAACCCAAATTTTCAATTTCAAACTGCATTTACAGTGAGTGTATGAAAGTTATCCAAAAACAAATTGCAGTTTTGAATTTAGTGTCCCCAATTTTACTAAGAAGCGAATTTTCATAATTCTATTTTTGCCCACATTTTATATGGAAGGAAAGCACTGTGCGTCTGCTGGAATATTAAAATCGACGTTAACCACGTGTAGCGTATGTTTTATAAAAAAGTCCGAAAAAGTCAAATTTTTGGTTATTTTACCCAGAGTAGCAACAGTATTACAAGTGACGCCCGTTATGCGGATAATATCATTCGTACCAATTGGAAAATTTTTGCAAAAACTTTAAATTTTTATTAAAGAAATGTCGGCTTGTGTGTCGACCAAAAATGTACATAACTTATTACACGGAAACTTGCAATTGGATAAAATCTGAATGATTTAGGTTTAAGCAGTAAATGCTTTTTGCTATAGAAAAATCGTTTAGTTGTTTAACTCCTGCTCCCCCAGTGTTCGCTTCTGAGGGGCATGCGCGTTTAAAGCCCGGACATTTGCATTCCTACTCCTACCGTTTGCTGTTCGTGCATTATTGTTCCTATTGGTGTTGTTGTTGGAATTAACCCGTGAACCATTATATTTATTATGATAGCGGTTTCGGTTAGCGGATCGATATCGTTGACTGTTATAGCTATTAAAGTTATTATTACTAGAAGAAAATTACCTGTTATTCCTATAACCAGTAAAATTGCGAGTTGTGTTAGCCCCACGATAGCCACCACGTGAATTTATAAACGTGTTAATACCACGCGATCGAAAAGTTAAAACCTGACGCTCCTTCACCTCATTCTGCTCTACAATAAGCTTTCCAACTGCGTCTTTAGAATCGGAAAATTTTGTTGAAGCTAAAATTAATTTTACTAAGTCAGACCTGGCGTTTAGACGGCACACGTTAACAGTTTGCTCAATCGCCATTTCGTGAGCCTTTTCTTGAGACATTCCTTCTATAATTAACGACCGCTCAAGTGAATCGGAAAAATCTTCAACGCGTTTGGCAAAGTCTGAATAATTGTTGTTGTTAACGTGTAACGCAGCTATTTTCCCTGCCACAACTTTCGAGTTGTCAGGTTTGATTCTATTACGTAGAGCAGATTTTATGTCACTAACGGAATTTATTTGTGCAGGTACGGCTTCGCGGGCTTTGCCCTCTAACTTGTATTTCAAAAATGCAATTAATGTACTGGTCAAATTTTCTTCAGCTAAGTCCTCAATCAAACCAAGCTTATCTAAAAACGGCTCGAGCGCTAACGGATCCCCACTATAATCTTCCCTATAATCGAAGCACAAAGGCTTATAAAAGACTTCTTTTGCTCTGCTGTGGCCATTTCTGTAAAAACTTTGGAATAAATTGAAAAATTAGGTGAACTAGTTGCAGCTGTTGGAATCTCTAATAGACTTTGCGAATCTTTGATGCTTGGAAGCGAAGCGCTTCTCTTAATGGCAAAACTTACTGACGCTTCTGATTTTGCGTCGGAGTACTCTTCTTCGGTATCAGAGTCAGCTAAATCTGTTTTGCAAATTAGGGCTAGAGGTTCTATGGGAATTTTAATCTGACAATTTAATTTTATAAAACACTTCCTTAAAAGATCCTTGCAGCGTGTTAACTTTACCTGTACTTCACTAAACTCACACGATTCGCTATGACCCTTGACGTGTAATAAAACTTTATTGTTCGAACTTATAAGTGAATCTCTATACTCTATACTATCTTGTCGAAAGAGGACGATTTTGCGAAATTCGCTTCGTAATTTTTAAAAATTCTGAATAATTTTCTTTAAATTCTTCGTCAAATTTGGTCATAATACGTTAAGTTTAAGAAAATACAAGAAAAATTACTTCTGCCAACTGCCGTTCACCGATTTTAAAAATGAAAAGTAAAGTTTACAAACTTTATTGAGTTATGTCCTTATATTATGTCCTAATATTTTTTAATGCAAAGAAGCTGGGAGTATTTCACATGCAACAGGAGTAGGATTTTATCGGGCAAATTCACATGCAAATTTTTTTCTTTAATGTTTTTATAATGTATTTCAAAAGAATTGTTAAAAGTTAGCTTTTTTTCTTTAATGTTTTTAAAATGTATTTCAAAAGAATTGTCGAATAGTAAAGTGTTTGGTACATATGTACTTCAGTGTATGGTTTTGTATTTATTTTAATAACTTTCAGGAAGTTGTATTTTTAAAAAAGATAAAGCAATTAAATCGGTGTAATCGAAAAGATCAGAAAAATTATATTGGGTCACTTAAATCTAGTAATAGTTAATATTGTTGAAAAGTAA